TATACACATGGTTCGCCACACTACCTCCAAGTCCATGACTGAATTCCATATACACATGGTTCGCCACACTACCCCCAAATTCATGACTGAATTCCATGTACACATGGTTCGCCACACTACTTCTAAGTCCATGACATGATTCCATATAAACATGGTTCGCCACACTGCCTTCAAGTTCATGACTGAATTCAATATACACGTGGATTGCCATACTACCTCCGAGTTCATGACTGAATTCAATATACACGTGGATTGCCATACTACCACCAAATTGTTGACTTTATTTCATATACACATGGTTCGCCACACTACCTCCAAGTCCATGACTGAATTCCATATACACATGGTTCGCCACACTACTTCCAAGCCCATGATTTAATTCCATATACACGTGCTTCGCCACACCACTCCAAGTTCATGACTGAATTCCACATACACGTGGTTCGCAACACTACCTTCAAGTTCATGACTGAATTCAATATACACGTTTTGCCACACTACCACCAAATTGTTGACTTTATTTCATATACACATGGTTCGCCACACTACCTCCAAGTCCATGACTGAATTCCATATACACATGGTTCGCCACACTACCTCCAAATTCATGACTGAATTCCATGTACACATGGTTCGCCACACTACTTCTAAGTCCATGACATGATTCCATATAAACATGGTTCGCCACACTGCCTTCAAGTCCATGGCTGAATTCCATATACACATGGTGTGACACACATCTTCCAAATTCATGACTGATTTTCATATACATTTGGTTCGCCGCACCCCCTCCAAGTTCATGACAGAATTCCATGCATATTGTTCAGTAACTCCTCCCAATTCCATCACTGGATGCCATATAGTGATTCGCAAAAGCCGCAAGTTCATGACTGAATGCAACATAAGTGGTTCGCCACACCCCTCCAAGTCCATGACTGAATGCGATACTAATACCATAGATCGATCTCATTTGATGTTCTCTTCAAAGCATAAGAATTACTGAAAGTGTAATTTATGCAAAATATCTGATTAGTCATATATAATTGTTTGTTTATCATTAGGATGACAAATAAGATATTTATAAGACAAGTCTGAGGTGTGACGATAGTAAATACAAATATTGTAAGACGTGTTTCAAATAATTTAAAGGGCAAAACATTTATTATGTATTTATTTCTTAAAATTTATTGTTGAAGTAGACACAAGTAATAAAGTATTTGGCTATTTTATCCATTACTAATTATTTTGTTGATGAATCAAAACATGCAAAAAAAATATATATTTTGGATAGAATATTTTCATTCTTAGTATTCACCAGAATTCATTAGTACCTATTAAGGTAGCTTGCAACCATTAAAAATACTCAGAAATCCTTGAAATCCAGCAGGAGGGATTGCGTCACTGTAATGTTCAAAATTCTGAAATAAAAATATATGGTCACCGAACAAAGTTTTCCATAAAACGACCTCGAAAATTGATCAAAAATGTGTTTGTTTTTTTAATTAGTTTTTAATTAGTTCCTATGGCAAAAATATTCCATCATATTGCAAAAATGTCCGGTGACCTATGCTAAAGACTGATATGTTGTGTTATGTTAGTATAAGTTATTCATGGAATAATATCTCTACATAGAATCTTATAGAAGATGTTCCAAAATGGTCGCTTTTTAGATTATTTCGCATATGTTTCCTTAGAAAAACATCTTTCTTACTCCGTAACAACTTTATATATAATATAATTAAAGGGCGGTAGTCGTCGTGCCGCGTCCTGTTCGATATGGGACTCATAGCGACGTATACAACGCATGTAAAATACATTGTTTATTTACATGAAATTCGAACACGCGCTGCGCGACGACCACCGCCCCTTTAATAATAGGGAGAAATGAAACAATTATGTGGTTTCATATAATAATGCAAATACAACTGCAATGCAAAAAAACAACGTATAGAATAATCACGGGCAACGACAGTATTCTTCTGGTGAGATCATATTTCGAAGGTTCATGGGAAATATCGCAGGATACAAAAATAAAATTGATGGCCAATTACAAATTTGGAAATTGGAAATTGATGCTAGATTCTGGGAAAAGGAACCCCATAAAGCCTCTAATCTTTCTGGTGTACTAGGAAAACAGAATGCGTCTGTATAAAAACAAACGAATAATTCCGATTGTAAACATTGCCTCTTGGTGGCAGTATTAACAAAACGGGCACTCTCACGCGAGAATCACCGAGAGTTCAATGGGGCAAGAAAGCAATATGGCGGCTGTTGTACCTCAGATTCAACAGAATGATTCGTGGTATCTCTCTTTACTGGGACTGGCTGAGGCTTTCAGGACTGCGAGTCCGCCAAAAATCAAGTTGTGTATCCACTGTCTTGAGTCGATATTTCAGTTCAAGCCGCCGCCTCAGATCGAAATGAGAACGCACGTCCAACTGGGCACGTTATTGTTCACACATACTAAAAACACAGATCTGGCAAGGTCGCATCTCGAAAAAGCGGTGAGTAAACCGGGAATTCTTCATCTCATGAACATCGTTCTGACTTCCAAGTAGTCTTTAATAACTATCCAATCTTACGATGCAATCTTTTCTTTTTTCTACAGTGGCATCTTTCGCAGAGTGTATCCTTTTTATTGGACAAGCGGGTCATATCGGGAATGCAATGTTCATAGCGTAGTTGTAGCAATATCGCGTAGAATCACGGCAACTAAAAACGAAATTTGCATATAATTACCGTCGGCTAACGGCGCATAATTTCGTGATTATACCCGATTTTATTTTTCAAAGTTTATCACCTGTTTTAAATCCGTCCAGTGTCGTCGGTTCCACGTCCGCCCGGATAGTCGGTGGCTTGGCTAATTTTAATTTTATTCAAATTTGACATGTGTTTGAATTTGGCGTTCATTGTTGCGTCAATTTCAAGTAAATGACACCACACTTGTCAGTGTCGTGGATAATCAGTAACTTCGCAGCGCCAGACGCTACTGCATCGAACTGTTTGAGTAATATCAGTTTATAGTAACATTTCACTGTGTAAACAATAATAAAATGCATAATTAAGTCAAAGACAATACCAAATATTATCTACTATATATCATATTTATCGATCCGAACAGCGTTTATTTATTTACTTTTATCAAATAGCAATGTTTTGTCTATGAAAAACTAAATGAGTGACCAGAGGCATGGTAAGTATCTGTATGAACTTTACACCTTGACCTTGTTTGTTACAGAATTGTTTTTATAAGTAATACTAATAATGTCCCTTAATGAAAATTCAGCTAAATTCATTTGATGATGTCAAATTTGAAGCTGCCAGCATTTTAGCAGAGATATATCAACACATGGTGAGTGCCTTGTCAAATCTTTAGAGCCACTTTAAGGTGGTGATCAAAACGAATCACAAGGGAGGGAGAATTTTTTTTCACCATGTGATTCTTGCACATTAGCTATGACTTTTTCTAATATTGAGTAACGCATGTTAATTTCTACATGCACAGTGTGCACATAAAATTTTGAGTTTACTTGCACTAGCTAATAATCTATGTGCATAGTGCAGTGTGCACCAGAGTATTTCGATCCCTGTTGTAGCATTGAATTTGGACCTTTATGATTTGTCGCAATTAATTTCTTGAAATTTAGTCTTTTATGAACGAACTCAAATTATCATTTTGTGAAAATTGATAAAAAAAAATTATATTAAGAAAAAAGGACTACTAAATACTGTAAAATGATTATTATTGAGGGGAAGCACATTTTCTAAAATTTTGAAGGGAATAAAACTACATGTAGCATTTTTAATGTCATTAGAAACTCTTTGGTCATGGTGACCTTTGTGATGTCCTGGGGTTGGATTATTAAATATTAAACTGCTGTGACAGTAAAAAATTACAAGATTTACAATATTTACATAACAAGTTTTACAAGCCAAGCTAACACCACTTCCTATAAAACAAGTGGTGCAAACAGTGCGTTCTATCACTAGGACATAACCACGAACAAAAATGTGTTTAGTTTCTCACCATATTTTGCTGTCATAAAATATCGGATATGTACACATGTCCATTTTTTGTGCATGAATGCGTTAAGTAATTCTATGTGTGTTTTTAGGACGCAAGTACATATTTTTCTGCGTCCATATTCCAATTATTGGGGCATTTCAGATGAATATTTTTGTTATCTCTGTATACCTTGTAGTTGAAGAATTATTGTTTACGTTACAGAACCAACCACAGTTAGCGAAACCTGTGTTACGCAAAGCTATTGGAATATCACAACAGTCGGCATACTGGCATTGTAGGCTTATATTCCAGCTGGCAGTAAGTTGGTTATTATTGGCAAGGATATTTTGGGAATGGCATGGCGTTGGGGTGTGAGGTGTAGGAGGCATGCCGTTGGGGTGTGAGGTGTAGGAGGCATGGCGTTGGGGTGTGAGGTGTAGGAGGCATGGCATTGTGGCGTGAGGTGTAGGAGGCATGGCGTTGGGGTGTGAGGTGTAGGAGGCATGGCGTTGGGGTGTGAGGTGTAGGAGGCATGGGGTTGGGGTGTGAGGTGTAGGAGGCATGGCATTGGGGTGTGAGGTGTAGGAGGCATGGCATTGGGGTGTGAGGTGTAGGAGGCATGGCGTTGGGGTGTGAGGTGTAGGAGGCATGGCGTTGGGGTGTGAGGTGTAGGAGGCATGGCGCTGGGGTGTGAGGTGTAGGAGGCATGGCGTTGGGGTGTGAGGTGTAGGAGGCATGGGGTTGGGGTGTGAGGTATAGGA